GACGCTCGCCACTCGTACGATCCAGTCGCTCCCAACAGACCAGACCACTCCTTCAATTCTAAGCCTATGAGTGATTCCTCCGGATGGTTTCCCCATCAATGGGGCCACCGTCGATTTGGCCACTTGAGTGCTCCACGCGCCGCCCAGTTGATCTAATAGAGTTGGCATTAGGTGCAATTTGAAGCTGATCAATGTATGTCGATAATGTGCCGGGGTGGGTGGCTCTCGTTCCAATTCGCTGTCTGAAGCCCCCGTCGCCTTTTTTGCTGCATTTCTAGTGGTGATACTGGAATAATCCGCAAGATGGTCCGCTCTCATCGGGGCAGTAGGGTCTTCTACAATGACCAAATGATTGTCTGGCAGCGCTATATATTCAAATAATAGTCGTTCTGGGCCAATAGACGTCCCATTGGCGGTGTAGTTATTCCTTTTGATGGTTCGCATTTCAGCTCTCCAAGACCCATTACGGCGAGCCTAGGTGATATTTCAGTGAGAATTCTGTTATATATATCGACAATAGTTACCGCCTGCTTTCTAGAGACTGAGTCGTTGATCAACTTGACTCCGTCCATGGGAGCATTGCTCCATCTGGCAATTCTAGCTACCCAGATAAAATAATGAGTCGAATAGAGATAGATGCATGTTCGGCATTACCCTCGTACTCCCATGAGATAGTTTTGGCTGGGTTCAAGCTTGGGTCTATTCAATCCATCAATGCAATTCAAAAGCATACATGCCGATCTTTACAGTTAGGGATAAACAGTAAATTGCAAAATATGTAACGAGCGCGACTACCAAAAGAGATTTATGGTATTAGGTGATATAAGATAATAGTCTAGCTTAGTGGGCCACTCCAACTTGGGCTCCACGTTCCTGTAAAAAGCATATAAGCTGGAGGAGATTTCGGGTTAAATGTAAGTGCTTACTTTGACATTGTGATCAGCGATCAAGCTAAAGGGTTTGGGTTGAGTTGCTAGGCTTCAAGGCAATTGAGAATAACTTACATTCCCGACAAAGAGGCAAGAATAGCAACTGGGATGACGATGATGAACACGTAGTCTGTA